GGAATGTGGAGGTGGAAGTGAAGAACGAAATCCATGGGCTACGGAATAATATAGGCACAAGGTATAAACCAAAATGGAGGAGACCATACAGAAGATCTGGAATTCTTCGCCTAAATTCGTGAAAAATTATGAGTAGAACTGACAAATTGTTCTCTTTGGTTGTTTTTGGAATGGATTTCAATATATTAATGAGTATTTTAGTTGATCGTAACTAAACAACGGAGAGGCGCATGGGTGCAGCCAATAAACCAAAGGCACAAGTGTCTGAACACCACCCATTCTCCTTCCCCTGAATGACTTCACTCTCCTCGTCTATAATCGCACTTTTTACTACGTCCCTTTACTGTTCCGTGTTCCATGGGCCAAACGAATAATATATGTAAGTACTTACCCATACTTTAGATAATCTGGATACTTGCATGTATATAAACGGCATCCTTTATAAACGTATCCTTTGTCCGGAATCTGTAACTTTATTTTTTTGATGTAACACACGCCAGGAGGGCCTAACCGAAGATAAGTTACGTTAACATAGTCTGTGTGTGTATAACTTTTGTGTATACTTCATTTACTTGCTCTAGGGATGTGCCCCTTCCAATGTCTTGGATGCGCGCTGGCAAAATCGTAGAAAGGGAGAAAGAAGCTCCTTATACTCTCGACTCTTGTTCATTAAACATACTTTTTCATGAAGTACCTGCCAAAAGTTTTGTTCAATCATGAACAGTAGTGCGAGTCGAAAGCAAGCATTAAAGTCTTTAATATGTCTTCAAATATAAATAAACATCTCATTGATATTTTCAGTAGTAAATGGTACCAATAACAGCACATTCGAACAATGCAATTGTAGTTGATGAAATGGCCGATTCCTTCGTGCAGTACTGTAGGGAGTATACGCTCCTCACCGGTTAAGAGTTTGGCCGAGAGTTGTCCCCTTCCTTTTCTGCCCTAGTGCTGTTCTTTTCTACTTTGCGCCGATCAAACTGAAGGTCACATCGCTACAGAAAGTAAACGAAGTATAGTTGTCATATATGAAAAAAAGTGAGGCTCGTGGAGCATCTCGTGCTTCGACTAATATTTCTTAACCAAACCATCAGGATAGATTTAGTTTAATACAAGACCAGTTTTAGCTAAACCAAGTTATGTATCAAATCTAATAGCTGTTATAGAAGACATCAAACGTTTTGATGATTTTCTTTACGAAAGCGTGATTGAAGTCTTTAATGACTATTTTGATCACTGGTGAGCGAATATTAAGAAGACTCTTTAAACACACATCTAATATAAATAAGAATAACAATTTTGTTAGTAAAGCTTTTATCTATCTAAATCTGCAACTATAATTCTAAAACAATTATTGCTTAACATAACTGAATTAATAAATAATAAATTACGTATCTTTTAGGGACTGAATATAACAAAAGTGGCAATTTATTGAAATACAATTTTTTCCTTACCTACTTTTGATAGTATAAATATCGATTCTTACCATCATCGGATTTTCCATGAATTACATCAGCTGATTCTATTTCGCTTAAGCAAAACAGTACGTACAGCAAAAATATGCGTAACACTAAAATTTTCATTGTACGCTCCGTGCAACTTTTCTGTTCAATACTGACGATGTAGCTGTAGAAAAGGTTGAGCACGTGTTTATATATAAACGAGGTATCGCTGTTTGGATTTTAATGTACCTAAGTACAATGTTTAATTTTGTCAATAAATACAATTGTATTCTATATATTAAATTTAATGTGCTATACGTTAAAATTAATGTACTGTACTTTAAAATTAATGTACAATAAAAACTATAGTTAGTGCAGAATGTAGAAAATTTTATTGCACACTAAATAAGTTCAAATCTGTTGTTCAACTATTCCACTTCTTTTTTCAGTTATTGTTGAATGTTGCGGGTGTGTTGCTGGCCTAGATTTTTCCTAAGGAGCACTTGAACCCTGTTCGATAAAAATTAATTTAGCGAAGTNTTATAAACACGTCATGCTTACGCACTAGTTTCGATATGGTTATGACATGTCCACTCGTGTTTTGCATGGTCCTCCACCTGATCCTTTAATCAGAACATCATCACATCTTAAAATGGTAGTCATTGTTTACACCCGACCACGGTACAATAAAAAAGGAGGGTTATGAGTTTGGTAGTCTGTGTAAGTATATATGTATGAATATTTATGTTTTCAGATTTGGAGAAATAGGGTGTCGTTAGCTTTGTATTGATGCTCCACAAGCTACATGATGTTACGTTAATTCTACTACGACGACTAAATACCCCAAAATACCCCACGCAATGTTGCGGGAGTAAACTCATTTATAGGGGTTATATTTAATGGTAGAAAGGTTGTGAGGTAAATATAAACAATACAGTTCATCGTCATAATGACGTCAATACTAAGACTGGTTGGACTCGCACCTCCAATCTTTCCATTACTGAGCTAATGTTCATATTTCCCTGAAGCTGGAACATCCCACATCCTTTACTATTTTTGAACAGTAATCTAAACTAGGTCTACCTCTACCCCTCTTTAACTCCTGTTTCTGCCTCTCTGACTAGACCTTCATGCCTGAGAAGGTGTCCTAGTAACCTATCTCGCCTATTTCTTATTTACTTCCATAGAGTCCTCTGTTCTCTTACTCTTTCTAGTATCTCTTCATTGGTAACCTTCTTTATCCACGGTATCCTCATCGTTCTCCTATAACACCACATTTCGAACGTTTCTAACCTTTTCTTTTCCGCCGCGCCCACCGTCCATGTTTCGCAGCCGTTGGCGAGCATAGAAGTGACTTTTTTTATTGAAGGCGACTCGAACCTGCACTAACCTTTGCTTTATATCCCTACTACTCCTTCCGTCCTGACTTATCTGACTTCCTAAATACTTAAAATCAGCCACTTCTTCTAATGTTTCGTCTCCTATCTATATATTCCCTCTTTCCCTACTTTTTCTTCCCTTGCATACCAGTATTTTTGTTTTACTTTTATTTATTTTCGTACAATACTGTTTTGTTAATACCGCTACCATTTTGATGAACGCTATTTCTAACTCCTTCTTGCTAGATGCCAATAAAGCCATATCATCTGCAAATCTAAACATACTAATCTTTTGTCTCGCTATATCTAATAATAGAGTTATTAATCAATTAGAGATAAATAAGTCGTGAACGAATTAAAAACACTCAATTTTAAGAATTTTATTATCTATATTGCTTTGCTTAAAATTGACTTCATCAGGTGATCTGATACTTCTTTTTAGGTAGTGAATATCTGTAGTAAATTTCGAATAGAGCTGGGATTCGGGGTAGATGGTAGTGGTTTAGAATTGTTTACACACATATAGTATATTACGATTTGAAGACCATGGTGACCATCAAGGTCTAATATCAATCACGATACAGTTAATAATACCAGGGCTTTTTCATCTTTCAGAGTGACTTCCATAAAGCTCGACGGCTTTTTTCTTAACGATAGATTGTTTAATTTTTTTTGTTTCACTACTTCATTTTTTCCTATGACGAATATTTAATTTTTTATTTCTAATAATAAGTATTATAAAATTAGCTTACAAGATTGATCTTACGTAACAAGAAAGCTACGTTCCATCTTTAACATAGAAGGCGATATGGTCGCGCTAAGTGGGTAAATGTAAAGGGCGCGATCCACCCTAATTCATTTCCTTTGTCTTCCGTACGTGGTTTTTAAGGATCATGCGGCTCCAACTCCGCTCGTCCATCCCCTCGAGTGCAATTTTCCGCGGCCCCTTTGTCGTTGTCTTCTTCGTCGCATATAAGGGGGTCGTAAAGTGCGGTATACGAAAACTGGGTCAGCAGGCGACCCACATCGCTGCGGCCAGTAGCGTCCGTGCGGTGGTAAGGCGAATGTAGGGGAGGCGAAGCGCCGACGGCTGTAGTAGTGGTGGTGGTGGTGGTGGTGGGAGTTAAACGTACACCTAAAGAAACGAAGACAGCAACGCTGTGGGTGGTGGGGAGGGTTTCAGTTGGTAGGAGCGCGTAAGCGTGGGGACCAAGGGGGGGGAGAGTGCACGACGTAGTGCGATGTGCACCGAGAAGCGAGACTGCACTAAAAAACAAGACAGACAAAACGGCATCGATCGGTGGCGACGCCACCGTCTACGACTACGACGCCGTCGGCCTCGGCGGGGCGAGGGAGGACGCGCGTCCGCCTGCAGGTCCGATGCGTTTTTGGCAACAACTGAAAGCTGCGCCCTATGCCAAAGAAACAAGAATAATGGTGTTCGAAAATCGTATCTGAAAGTACGTAGAGCAAACCATCTATTATGCTGGAGATAAGAAAGCTCGTTTAAAATGCTGAAAACAAAATATATTTAGACGAAGAAACAAAAACTGTGCAATAAAAGTGTATGAGGACAAGACAATGTTAATGTTAATTAATAATGAGAATCGGACAGATTTGGCCGAAATTTGGATAGAATATTTTGTAGCCTTTTTCCATTTATTAACCACTCGTAAATAGTTTTGGGTTTGTACCTGTTCATTTGAAAAATAAATCAATACTTTCCCACATTCTCCTGAAACAGGAGCTACTATTAGCAATATTACATTTTACCAATCGAATATCCATTTTCAGTAAAAATTAATTAAGCAGAAGTAGTTGTAACGAATTGGAAAATATTCTGGTTGATTATAAGAACAATTGACAATACACCTACATTTGCAATGATCTTTTCAAAGTATATTTCGTACATTTGCAGTGATAGTGTATAGCTTGTCCACCATAATCATTAAGTCATCAAGTTTCGATAGATACTCAGTTCCTTCGTGTCCCGAAAACCAGAATATCCTTAACTATTTACGGACAGAAATCCAATCTAGGACTAAGTATCTCTAGCCCTTTGTACTTCTGCTTCTGATTCTAATATGCCTCTAACTAATCCTTTACGTCTCTTTGTTGTCCTACTCCTTGTAATATTTCCTTCTCGTACATATCTATCGACGATATGTTAAAGTAAAAAATGAACCCATTTTTTTCCTATATGTTAGATATTTGGGTGGTAAACTATTAGAAGGAACTACGTCTATCTGCTAAAGTTCCAGTAGTTCAGGTAAAACTATCTATTACATGCCATTTGAATTCCAATGAGCTATTGGGATCCGTCAAATGGGCATACACCATCTGGTGGCAAAATTTATAACTCGAATAAGGGAAAAATTTACACGCAAATTGTAAAATTGTTTATTAAAATAATAAAACACGTTAAAAAAGTAAAAATTTTTTTGATGATGGAGTCGACGAAGTTTTCTTCTAAAGTTAAATCAAATAAAAAGTTAATATGTTCAGTGAAAAGCTGCAATAGCACTTCAGACATAGATCTTCACTCTTCACCTACATTAACTACTTTCCAATAAAAACTAACCGTTTTATATATGTAAAAAATATATTCGGAAAATTAGAGAAAAAAGTAAACTAATAGAAGCTTGGATGAAAGCAGTAGGTATCAAAGAAGTGAATTCCGGAATAAAAATTTGTTCACGTCATTTTAATGCACATGATTATATTTCAGCAAGTATTTACCATCAGCCATAACCTTAATATTTAAAACTAGAATCATACTAAAATTATAAAGTGAGAAATTATTTATTCCTGTGTAATTGATTTAACACAATTCTAATGATACGATATAAGTATTTTGAGGTTAAGAACCTACCTGCTGCAATACAACAAAGTTGCAATAATGTGTTTGCAACGTTCTCTTAAATCGGCTTTGCACGTGCAAGTCATTGATATGATATTGCTTAAATCACCCAGAATCACCTCACCAATTATATAACGTGAATCACTTTTTAAATCCGAAGTTTGTAAAAAGTAGGCAGTAAACTTGACGGAATTTGAAGGCTAGCTTCCGGATTTGTTATTTCCGAATTTTATAATGTGATTGGCATTAAAAACACGCTCACCTTCAACGAAATTTCCTTTCCGAGGCTTTGTTTCATCCCAATCACATATTGTGTCAATACTTATTATTTTATCGTAATTTAAAAACTTGGAAATTGCACGGTACACTATAGGAACTACGATAAATTTTCCCTAATCGGCGTCATGTTTTTAGGCTCCTCCCATTTGACGGATCCCAATAGGCAAATGTTCCAGAATAAACTGTTGAATAGAGTTGCTGTTAAAAAATAAAATGAGTACAAGTAAATATCAATTATTATTTGTTATTTGTGGAGCAAGAGTGAAACGTGTTCAATACCAGTGCTAGGTAGAAAACTGAACTGAAATTGCAGAACTAAGATGGTGATGATAAAATCCTGTTTTGCTCATTACTGCCCCAGCTAATTTTTGACGAAACGAATTTAGGTTTGGTTTAAACTACTTATTTGTTTCATTTTTGTTAGTGATGAAGCTTAAATTGTTATTGAGACAAAATAATGTGAATTTTAAATTGTATAATATGGTGGTTATCGAAGTATTGCATTATAGTTTTGATATAAAGCGTTCCTTAGTCCTTACCTGTAATCGTTGAAATACACGACTCATTTCGTTTACATCGATACTTCTGTTCAGTTACAATAGCAGAAAATTTATGAACCTGTGTGAAAAATAAAAACCGATAATCGTAACTTTGTTCTGCTATACCTTATCATGAGTATTAACTGATGAC